AGTCCCGGTTCTTGTCCTTCACCATCGACGCCAACCTGGCCACGGACCCGCGGTTCCTCACCTTCCTGGGGTAAGTGCCGGCCTGCGGGTGCCTGTCCCCTCTCCTGCCCTCCTGACATCCGCGCCGGTCCCCGGGGCCTCTCCCCTTTTTAAAATCTCTCTCTCTCTCTTTCTCTCTCTCTCTCTCTCTCTCTCTCTCTCTCTCTCTGTCTCTTTCTCTTTCTCTTTCTCTCTTTCTCCATCCGCCCCACCCCGCCCCCCTGCAGCCGCCCTTAAACCGCGCTTTCTCGCCTTCATTCATTCAGCAAGTGTTGCCTGAGCGCCAACTAAGGGCTCGGTAATAGGGCGAAGTTGGAGAAAGAAACTCCCACCTGCCCCGGCAACTCGCCAGAAGGAGGGGTCTTGGCTTGGAGGGCTGTGAGCGCCTGGATTTGCTGGGCAGCGCAGGACAGTAACATTGTGCACCAGGCTTCAGTCTCCTAAACTGTGTTAGGAAAGTTACAACTACAACAAAAAAGATGGACGGAAAAGCCTCAAAGGAGAATAAGCTTATTTATTCCATATATATATATATATATATATATATATATATATATATAAAATTTTTTAAGAAAACTTTTTAAAAACATTTTTATTGAGTTATAGTCATTTTACAATGTTGTGTCAAGTTAAAATAAACTTTTAAAGAGCAGTTTTAGGTTCACAGCAATACTGAGCACAAGGTACAGAGATTTCCCATATTACACTCTTTTAAAACTGTTTAATATCACATCCATGAGACCGAGGACACTATTGCAGTGACTTCAGAGCCTTAATAAAAAGCTGTCTTTTCCAGATAAGGCTGTAAAAGGTGGCACTGCTTTATTAGCTGTAATTTTTTCCTTACCTGAGAAAAACTGAACCTAGTGCAGATTCACTGGCCCCTGCCTGTGAGTGCAGGCTGATCCCAAGATAGGGAGCTGCAGGACCGACCCAGGTCATCCAGGCCACTCATCTAGGTCACGAGAGCCTCCAGAGACCGCCACACCTCAGCCAACCCAGACAACTGGAATCCTGTCATTGCCAAACACCTGCAGGCTGTCCTTCCTGTGCCCACACTTTCAGCTGCCATTGCTCAGTTCAGTCATTCATGATGCAAATAAAAGCAGACAGCCTCATGCTTATGAAGCTTGCAGCCAGACCACCCTTGATTCCCAACGCTGCCAAAACTGGGTGGCTTAGTTTTTACAGGTTGCTTGACAGCTCAAAGCCTTGATTTCTTTCCCTGCAGAATGGGACTTCTAAAACCTTCTTGTAGGACTGTATGAGCATTTAATGAGAAGGACTTAACACAGTGTTGGACAATGCTCAAAATTTAAGTTAATTGCTTCTTCCTGGAAACTGGTGAATATTTGTTAGGCATTCACCAGTTGTCTGTGTTTTTCATGCAGAAATAGTTAACCTCTATCTTTCCCCATGTGGTAAGAGAGCAGGAATTTCCTGGTGAGACAGCGGTCTCACTTTTTGTCCTTCCCCTTGGGGATAGTGAGCTGATACCAGGCAGCAGTTGGTTGGGAGACAGAAAGATTACTCTGGAGAAACACTGAACTACTACAAGGCACCATATCTGAGGACCCCAGGCCTAGCTTAGGATGGGATGGGGGGCAGTGATAGGGGAAGAGAGAGTGTGAAGTGTCTTACTGCAAACACAAAGATTAATTGAATGACCATTTACTAAAATATGAGAACTAAGTCTTTTTATGCTGCAGTAGCCAGAGTATATACCCTGCTCCTCCCCAAGGAAGAACAGCTGGCGATCCCCTCCTGGAGAAACAGGTCCAAAGGAAAATACCTACAGTATGACTTTTGAGGTTCAGGCCTGATCACCCTGAAGTCAAGCTAACCAACTCACTAGCACCCCCACCCCTCTACCCACCTCCGCACACACACTGGGAACCTCCAGTTTGCAATTTAACCAGGGTGATAACTTTGCCTCTTCTTAAACATGTCTCTTACGTTCCCATAGCACTCTTTCTCGCCTCCCTCCCACCAACTCTCCCAGCCTCCACCTTTTTGTTAAAGGCTGGAGGATGATGAAAACCAAAAGAGCATAGCATGTAATAAATAAAACTTTTTTTGGTTTTTTTGGTTTGCAAAACATAGTGCATTCCTGTTCATGCAGCCTTCTCTCCAGGGCTGGCTCCTGACCACTCCAGGTCCCTTCCCAGCTGTCTTCCTTGCCTGCTCCCTAGAGGCATCTGCAGGCACAGGCACACTATTCCCAGCTGAGATCTTAAAGACTACAGCTCAAGAGGCAGGAGCTCCCTCCCCTTCTCGTCTAAGACCGAGCTTCTGAGTTAGAGTCTGAGGGTTCATCTCCCCAGGAAAGTTGGCACAGTGCCCAAAGTGACCCGACCATCTCAGAAGACAAAATATTTAGCTTCCATTTCAAACAACAGCACGGGACTTACCATCTGTCACAGGAGCGAGGGGGTTGAGATGGGCACAGTTGTATTTCAGTTCCTCAAAAGTGAAGCTGCTTGGGCGAAGATGGCAAGATCTGAGCAGGTGAAAGCTGAGGTACTAAGGAGAGGATCATAAGCTAGCCGACACTAACTGAGCCGTCGTCAGGGGCCAGGCCCTGTTCTAAGCACCGCCTAGGTACTAATTTAGTCTTGGCTGCAAAACTGTGAGGTTAATACTATTATTGTCCCCAATTTTTTTAAATGAAGAGATCCAGGCTTAGGGAGATTCAGCGATTTGCCTGTGGTCAGCCAGCTATGACATGGAGTAGTTTGATTAGCAGATGCTAATTTTGCAGAGGTGAGAGTGCACAAAAAGAAAATCAAGCAGTTTACATTTTTTAAAAGCAGCAGAGTAGGGATGGGAGAAAAGACTGTCCCGAAATAAACTGAGGACTGATGTAATGAAAAGAAGCACTGACCTTGGAGTAAAAGAATCAGGGCCCACACCTCTACAGTATTTCAGAGAAGCCTAAGCAAATAAAATCAGATGGCAGAGATTCAGTTTCCCATGACGGCAACCAGATGTGGTGGCGTTTTTCTTTTTTTCACATTTGCAATTCGAGAACATGGAAAGAACTTAAGTGCCAATGACAGAGCAATCTAGACTCAGAAAGGAGCATCTTTTCAGTTTGCCTTCTTCCCAGTGGTAACTCACCAACAGCCCAATCAGAAACTTCCTAAGCCTGACTGTGGGCTGAGCTCTGAAGAGGCTCCCACCCTCAAAGGTGGGAGAGCCGAGACCAGCGCGACTCGGTAGAAATAGAATATGAGCCTTATGGGCACACTACGCAATGTAGTTTCAATTTTTCTAGTAGCTATGTTTAAAAAAGGTAAAAAGAAACAAACAAAATTCACTTTAGTAATGTATTTTATTTAACACAAAATATCCAAATTATCATCATTCAGTATAATCAATACAAATATATTAACGAGATATTTTACATTCCTTGTCGAACCAAGTCTTCAGAACTTGGTGTGTATTTTATATTCACAACACATCTCAATTCAGACAAGCCACATTTCAAGGGCTAGCCACCTGAGTTAGCGGCTTGGCAGCGCAGTCCGCATTTCAACCAAGGCACGTATACAAGCACAGTTCACCAATTCAAGGCAAAAATCAGAGCGCTGAGTCAGGGGTGCAGATCATAAGTCCTATAGAGCAAAAACGGGTGCGACACAGAGGCTGCATTAATCATGCAGCTGTGCTTGCTTTTCCTAAAGATTTGCTTATTTTATTTCAGCAAAGCCCAGCCCTTTTTGCAATTCGATAAATATTTACTATCAATAACTTTCAATCGTAAGATTCCTGCATCTTCATTGACAAAGTTGCTTTCCCTATTTGGAAAAGCACTTACTAATAACGTGAAGCACGCGTTTTGATAACTGATGTTGGAAATAACTTTAGGCCCTCTGTGAGCCTGTTGCTAAGAGAAATAACCACAGCCAGAGACACGGAGAACCGAGGATGATCACAAGACATAAACTCACATTTTCTGACTCCTGAGACGGGCTCTGCCCCCAACTGAGCCATGATCAGTGTTCTCTTCCTTCTCAAACCTTTCATTGTGCAGCCCGAACCCTCTGCATGGTAACGGTTCTCCATCCTCCTCCGAGAATACTCCTGCCACTCTGTGCCCTAGCTAAAACTCTTCTCTGAAGACGCCAGTGGAGAAGTAGATGGGGCTACTTTGGAGTAGAAGCTGAGCATTCTCCCACACTGCAGCCCTGTCCCGTTCCCCAGGGCTGCTTCTAGACAACTGCCCACAGGGATGAACTCCAGTAGTTCAAATCCCCATTGGCATATCACCCTGGGCAAATCACAGAGCCTCCTTTTGCTCCATCTCCTTATCTATAAAATGAGGTAATAATGGCATCTCATGATTATTAGGTTGTTTGGGGATTAAGTGAGATAATCTATGCAAAGTGTCCAAAACCTTCAGTCTGCATAACCTGCGATTAGAGATGACTGTTCTTGTCCAGGGCGAGGCCACTGTCTCCACGTCTGACTCTGCTCCTGTGCTCCTCATCACTATCCTCTGCCCTCTCTTACTCCTCCTTATTGATTGACGTTTGGCACTGATCTCAGTTTGTTCTCCACTCCCACGTCCCACCATCATCCTAGACGACTTCAAATCCACTTGACTACACAGTCTCTCAGTTTCTTCACACCCACAACTTTTAATTATCTTCACTCAGTGTTGTACTAGAACCAGCTTGCACCAGCTTGTGAAATGTGTACATCTCTACCCAATTCCATATTCAGTGACATCAACACCGGTATTTTGAAATCAGCCCTGGTATGTATATTTACACCATGGAAATTGGCAAGTGCAAAAAACAGACCACCATTCCCCCCGCCAGAGAGCCAGCTTCCTAGCACACACCACTTCACCCCTTTCTTTTTTCTGTGTATCATAGAAATACTCTATCTTTGATCAATTTTGTCTTTATGACAAGTTTGCAGCTGTTTTAAATTCGGTCTTTGTCAGAAGGCATCAATATTGTATTCTAAAAATAAGAAAATATTCCATTGTAAAGAAGATAAACAAAAGGGTCCTTAATACCAATACTTCAAAACATGTGATTTCCTTTACTTGGCAAGAGTCATAGCACTGGGATTTAATTATGTTCATAGAACAGTATTTGGCCCCATTTGGGCCTTTCACCAAGTTGAACTCGATTGTTCATTCACTTATTAAGCACCAGCTGTGTGCAGGCACATACCCGGGTGCTGAGCCAGACAGAAAGTCCCTGCTTTCATAGAGCTTACCCCAGGGATGAGCGCTGGGAGAGATGGTAAACCAAGGAAACAAATCTGGAAGCTAATTCCAGAGGTAAGTGAAATGCTATGAAGAAAATAAAAGCAGGGTGATGTGTTCGAGAGTGACCTGAGGTGGTCCTGTCACCACTCCTGGGAACCAGGCTCTGGTCCTTGGGCATCTGATCCAGGCCGTGCACACACGCACATCCTGGGGTACTACAGCTGCTCCCTGCTGCTCGTTTTCCCTTCATTTCCCAGAAAGCACCAGCCTCTCCCTTCTCAACTGTATACAGATACCAGCTACTCAAATCTAAATGAGCTTCCTCTATCACCAAACACAATCAAAATGCCCAGGACCAGAATCAGTGCCTGACCAAAAGCAGTGGAACAAGGCCAGCCCGGAGTGACTCAGAGGAAGTTCCATGTCAGCTTTAGGGCTGCGTCTTGGTATCTGTGGGTTAGAGGGTAACTAATCACTGCCTTCTAGACTGAGAGGACCCTCCATTCTACACTTCTCCTATACGAGTCTTCTGAGCTCCAGACACACAGGGCCAAGAGCCTGGTGGACATGTCTTCTGGTGTTCCAGTGGCACCTCAAATTCTACAACACTGGACCCCACCCTTGCCTTCATCCCTGTCTCCAATCTATGACCCAGTCTTCATCTCAGCAAATGATATTACCATCTTCCAGGATGCTTCCCAGGATAATCCTTGACTTTCTCCAGCATCCAATTAAACACCAAATCCAGAATTTCTATCTCCCCATGTATCTTGAATTTATCCACCTCTCTTCATCCCCACTGTTGTTTCCATGCCTCAGCCCATCACATTAACTGTCTACATTAACATGGCCACAGTCTTGGTCCTTCTATTCAGTTATTTACACTGCAGCCAGAGATTCCTTTCTAAAATAGAAGTCTGGTGAGGTCCCTCCACTGCTTTAAATCCTTCCATGGCTCCCCATTACCCTCATATAAAGTTGGAGCTCCTGGACATGGTGGCTGACAAGCCCTCCATGATATGGTCCTGCTTGCCGCTCCAGTGTATCTGCTCCCGGCAACTCTCTGCCCCCAATCTCTAGGCGGTAGCCATACCATCAGCTCTTCAGTGGTGCCCTATTCCCTTCTACCTCTGGTCCTTGCACAGACTGTTCCTTGCGCCCGGAATACTGTCTTCAATCCCACCTCACTATCTTTGATCTGGATAAGATTTATTCCTTTTGCATGTCTAACAGGGATGACATTTCCCCTGGAAAACCTCTAATCACTTCCTTCTCCCAGGGCAAAGTCTGGGTTAGGATCCCCTTTGTATGTTCTCATAACATTGTTTTGGAATTGCCTGTTTACTTGTTCATCTATATTGTGAGACTATAAGTCATATGAGAACAGCAGCTCTCGGTCTTGTTTGCCACTGTATCCCCAGCAACTAGCATAATGCCTGACACGGGGTTGGCCTGCAATGAATAATTATTGAATAAATTAATGGATGGCTGTGTTTCCTTTGAGTAAATCTTGGTGTCTTCACCTATTCTTTAAAAATAGAAACACAAACACACAAAATCACCTTGTATGATTTAAAATATTGTGTGCTTACTACAGAAAACATGAAAAATACATAGAGCAATAGAGAAGAGTCGACCACCCATCCTACCACACCATAGTGACTACTGTTAGCTCCTTCTCTCTCTCTATTTTCACTCTTGAAATCACATTGTGTCTACACGTTGTTCCTTTTATTGTGGTAACCACAGTAGAAGTTGTGCTTACTTAAAATGTAGAGTTCACTGACATTAAGCACGTTCACACTGTTGTGCAACCATCACCCTCAGCCATCTTAGACCTTTTTTATCTTCCCAAACTGAAACTCTGAACTCATTAAACAACAATGCATTCTTTCTCACTTCCTAGAGTTTAGTTTTATTTGGGTTCTTTGCAAAGTGGAAGTGGCTTCCTTCTGAATCCTTGCTTAGTCCAAGCTAACATTTCCATTCATTTTCAAGAGGTTCTGAGGATTTCATGGCAGAAGTCATCCTTCCCAGGGTTCTTGGGTACTGTCAGGTATTTCAGTCAATTCCACGTTGATAACATCCCTGACATCTCACTTGTGCCAGGATCCACAAGACATTCAAGAGCCCATGAAAATATTTCAAGTTCTTTTAAGATCCAAAGGAAGTGAACTTTTAGGTCAAAAAAAGTTTTAATATGTGATATTAACATATTTGTCTTTATGTAAGTATCATCATAAAATATAATTTTAAAAAATTTTGTGGAGGAAAAGGCTCGTGAAGGCAAAAGTGCCTAGATAGTATAGTAAAATGCTCCCATTATTAACAGAAAAAATGGTGAGGAGGAATCACTGAAGTTTTAATGCAGGTAACTCATCCTTTGGTCAATTTCTGCCTTTTAATTTCTCTTTCCTAAGCAAAAATAAAGAAATCTTCGAAAATTTTTACATAGCATTATATGTAAAACAGAAGAACACATTAAAATTTTAAATTTTAGATCATGTCTTTAATTTCTAGGATGTCCAAAAGTACTGGTAATTAAGAAGTTCTCCTGGAATGATTTTCTGATTTGAAATAAACCCATATGTAAACTAATTATTTGGGCCATTTTGAGAACCACTCAGCATTGACTTTATGTGTGTTAAGAGCTTTCCAGAGAGCAGTGTGGCCAGAATCCCATGTGTGAGGCTTCAGAAATACATGGCAGGTTGCCCTGCTACCTGCGTCTTCTGTTTTCTTAGTTTTTTCACTGAAATATTCATGACATCTTCATCTCTCTGAGAGAAGGAATGATAAATAACTCTAATTCCCTTCTGCAGCATTCCGTACCATTCTGAGCACATCATAGGGACCTATCAGGAGCATTTTTGGCTTGATGAGATACACATTGAGAATTTCTTAAATTGGAAGTGTCTTAGATGTGTAGGAATTAGAATCTTACCTAGTTCTAGGTCATTTGACTTAAATTTGAAAGGATGGTTTTCCTTGGAGTGGAGGTGAGGGTTGGTTAGGGAGAGAAGTCATTTATGAACTTCTCTGGAAACATAAAATTTTGAAGACAATCGATTTTTCAAAGAAACAGAGTCATCTTTCCTGAAGTTTCCACTCTCTTACCTCTTTTCCTCCATTAATCACAAAAGGTTTATGAGTTTTTTGAAAGTACTGAACACTATCCTACTTGTCAAGTTGAAATATGAGCTCTTGCCTGAGTCAGAGCTCCAAGTTGCCTTCAGGTGCCTAGAAGAGCAGCCTTGCAATGAGGGAGACTCCGATGGAGATGGTACCCCTGGTAGAGAGATGACTTCTCCCTCCACGGCCGGTACAGTGAGGTATTAAGAAATGGGTCCATCCAAGAGAGAAGGGAGTAGATGCATTTGACTGGATTGTCTTGGAAAAAATCATTTTAATTTCTTGCTTGTCTTCAAAACAGTTCTCCAAAGCTTCGTACTTTGGCCAGAGGTTTGTCTCCTGCATACCTGAGATTTGGTGGCACCAAGACGGACTTTCTCATTTTTGATCCCAAGAAGGAACCAACCTTTGAAGAGAAAAGTTACTGGCAATCTCAAGGCAACCAGGGTGAAACTTTTTACAGATTACCCATATATCTGAATTCACTTGAGTCAGTCATGAGCATTCTCAGAGAAGTGTTATTACCCACATCTAACAATTAGTAAGGGATGAAGGGCTCCCAACTGACCCGTGGAGGCACCTACACAGGAGGAGGAAGCAGTGGGCAGCTTTCCCCCTCCTGATGTTTTCAAGCTTGTGAGACCTCAGAAAAATAACCAAACCAACAAAAGGTGTGCTGGGCATAACCGAGGGTTAATTGCACTAGAAATAGAATAATGATTGTAGCTGAAGAGGGGCCTATACGTAGAAATGCACCAAACTGAAGGGAGTATTTCCTGCTGAAGACACAGCCCTGGATTGAAATCCCTTTATTCCGAAAATAGAATGTGGATGAAAGGTATAACAAGGGAACGTGGAGATGTGCTCTGCTTCTAGGAAGGAATTTTAAGACTTGATTGGTTGGGCAAGGGTTCTCAAACTTTACTGACTCTACACAGGCACCTGGGGTGAGTTTGAATATTTGGATTTCTGGGTTCCAAACTTAGGCTACAAGTTTAGCAAGTTCCTCAGGCAATTCTGATATTAGAAGTCTGTGGACTTCATCTAAGAAACATCCTAGGGAGCTACGAGGATTTGCCTGGTGTCTTTCATAAGTGATAGACAGACATCAAATAGAAGTTAAATCATTATCTAAACAATTATTAAAAATACCGTGTACATCACTGAATTATAATAATGTATACATGATGTATACACTAATGAACCGTATTTCATTATTTTATATACTATGTATTTTCCTTCTGTTTATTTTCTGCAGTTAGGAAGTACTTAGAACAGTCAGTAAGTGGGCCAAAGTTGATAGAATAGTAATTAGAAAAAAATGAAACAAAGCAGAAAGGTCTTCTTGGAAGAATTTGTTGGGTTATGTTTAGACCTAGCCCTTTCTCATCAGTCATATGCGTTCAAAAGGTTCATAAGTTTTGAGAGGAAACTGTCCTTGTGCATCAATTTTCTTCATCCTAGGGGCAGGCGGAGGGTCACTGGGATTATCCAAGTGCTTCCGAAACATCCTTTGTGAGCACAGGGATGGATGAGGCCCCGGCTGCCAGAAAGCCAGAATGTGCAGCTTCCCAGAAAGGAAGTCACCGGGTCAGCCTGTCCTGGCAGCGGGTGCCTGCAGCCCTGCTGCCTTGTGATAAAGAGCATGGTCTGCCTGACCAGGCAGTGTGGGTTTGTCCAGGCACACATGCTGTGGTCTTAGGAGCTTTGATGATACCAAATTTGAAGGAATAAATGTCAACATTCCTTGTCCTACCATTTTGGCAAGAGGAAATCACCACAAAGCAGATACAGTCCATGTAAAACAAATGTCTGCATATTTTCAAAGTGAACCTTTAAAAGAACTGAACTATCTTTTCTTTTTTCCCTCAGTGGTGTTCCCTAGTAATTTCAAGTTTCTGAGGAGCCTTCTGAGTTGTGAAATAGCTTAAAGTTATGTCCAGTATATGCCCAGTGTTTCTTAGGAAACCTGCCCTTTGGATGGTTTTTGTGTGTGTGTGTGGTGATTGGTTAGCCAGCACATCTGACATGGTGTAACAGAACATATCTTTCTCTGATCTCACGCCTAATAACCAGAAATTCAAATATGCTGTTTTAGTTACATAACTAACTAAATAAATAAATGTATGGGATTTCAACCTTATCACTGTGAAACAGAGTCCTTAAATTATTTACTCCATTTGCAGATATTTGCAAATCTGGATCCATCCCTTCTGATGTGGAGAAGAGACTACAGCTAGAATGGCCCTTCCAGGAGCAACTGCTATTCAGAGAACAGTATCAGAAGAAGTTCAAGAACAGTACCTATTCAAGTAAGAAATGAAAGGCACCCTGCAGGTGTCCTAGCCCCCAGAGTATTTGGATGGCTCGACCTTGGGCTTAAATCCAACCAGTGCTGTAGCAGTTGTGTAAAGCTGCATAATCCTCAAATGTTAACAAGAGTTAATGGGCATTCTTGAATCCCAAACTTCTGTTGTTTTTTTTTTTCTTCAACCTGACTTTGCCTGCTAGCCACGGAGTAAAATATAGAATCATTCATTCACAAGCTAATATTCACCCTTACTGCTCTACAGAGCTAAGGAATGAAGAAATGGATACATTCCTTGTGTGACAGTAGAATACAAAAGTGTGAAGAGTGAAATGTGAAAACCATTCACATCTCATGTGCATTCTGTCTCCACTCCCCTATGAAGCAGCCCCTATGATGTGTTGTGTAGCATCAGGGCAGGGCAGTGTGGGCCATACTAGGCAGTCCTGGCCATCAAGCAGCATTCTCATTTCCTTTCCCTTGTGGCTGTGCAAACATAGGACTAGCTCAACCAATCAGGAATTTATTTCCATTCACAGAAGCAGTTTTCCAGTGTTTAAAATGGGATCACAGTGTCATGCAGGGCTTTAAAACAACCGGAACAATCGTTATCTAACTATAAAATAGATTTTTATCTGAAAGTTGGTGTTTTACATCCAACTAAGGAACGATGTTGCCCCAGATCTCAGTTAAGGGACTCTACAACTGTCTTCTTTTGACTTTTGAAAAGTAAGTGATCTTGAAGTTAAATTGGGTTAGTCAACATTTCTAAGAGTACATTATTTGACAGTAAATTACTTATCTTTGTAAGATTTTACTATACACTATATTTACTATACAATAGATTTTTATTTGTATATAGGGGGGGAAAATGACACATAAGAAATCAGAAAATACGTTATACGCTAATAAAAAATGTAGTCCTCTAAATTACTTTTTGCATTTTAAAACAGGAGGCAGCGGGGAACTACTCTGATCTTAATAATATGATCTATGGTGAAATTTGGCACGACAGGGCCTTCTCAGATCCCACTAAAGGAATGACAGAAGTCCAAGAGACCTACAGCAGTAAGGTCTCATTTGTAATAAATCGTTATGATATAGTCCTGTTAGAAGAAGACCCCATGGTCTTTGGTAATTTATAGATTTCCACTTTTTTGGAAGGGGGGTCATCTTAAATATATACCAATTTACCTTAAATTTTTCTTTAAAAATGTTTGTTACCTCACATGATCTTTCTGGAACCAAGATGGTAGGTTTTCAACATCTCTTTCCAGCCTCTGGGACTCGGGCCTTCGTAGTTTCTACACCAGGGAAAAGCCCTTGTTTTACTAACTCTGTTGCTGGGTCACTATAATTCCAGCCACCCTGCTGGCAATGCTAAAATGTATGACAAGTACAGATTGTTCATTTGCATTTGGAAACATTTGACTTCTGCTTTGAAATTTTCTATTTTAATCTGCATGGTTTAGCAACATATAGATAGAAATCTACTGCACTTAGTCTGGGCACCAACTCATGATAGGGGTACACATCTAAGATGCCAACACATGTCTCCACGCGTGGTTCTGTGTCTGTGGCCGTGGTTGGTAATGCCTGAGTAACCTGCAGTGGCATCGCACAATAGATGACATAGCGTCTACTGTGTTCATTGCTTAGTTGATGACCTGCATCTTTAAAACAGGTATCCTAGAAGATATAGGTAAGTTTCCTAACTACAGGACCCACTGGATGGTGTGCTTCACTTAAGTAGATGACAAAAACATTCGTCATGAGGATATGAATTCACACCGTAAACGTGTTCAGGCAGGGAAAGGAAGCAATGTTACAGATGTAATTCTGGGTGTGACTGCAGAAAGGAGGCCTCTCTATTAAAACAATCCTATTTCATAAACTGATTCTTTGCTCTCCTTCTTCTCCACCTTCTTCCTCATCATCCCACTCCCACACTGGATGCTGAACACACTTATGTAAACGAAAATGGTGTAACAGTCAGTGCCAGTGTTTAATGTGCCATTTAGATTTTCTTTGTCCTAGGGATCTTTCACCTTCTCATATAGTAAGAAAGATGAGATTGGATAATGATTGGAAATTGGATAATTAATTAGCTGTGAGTCTTCTTATTCTTATTTTGAGGAGGGAGTAGGCTGGCTGGGTTTTTTTTTAATTGAGTTATAGTCAGTTTGCAGTGTTGTATCAATTTTTGGCATACAGCATAGTTTTTCTGTCATACATGAATATACATATATTCGTTTTCATATTCTTTTTCACCATGAGCTACTACTACAAGATCTTGGCTGTATTTCCCTGTGCTATACAGTATAAACTTGTTTATCTATTCTATATATACCTGTCAGTATCTATAAATCCCAAACTCCCAGTCTGTCCCTACCCACCCCCCTTTCCCCTGGCAACCACAAGTTTGTATTCTAAGTCTATGAGTCTGTTTCTGTTTTGTATTTATGTTTTTTTTTTTTTTAGATTCCACATATGAGCAATCTTACATGGTATTTTTCTTTCTCTTTCTGGCTTACTCCACTTAGAATGACATTCTCCAGGAACATCCATGTTGCTGCAAATGGCATTATGTTGTCAGTTTTTATGGTTGAATAGCATTCCATTGTATAGATATACCATCTCTTCTTTATCCAATCATCTGTCAATGGACATTTAGGCTGTTTCCATGTCTTGGCTACTGTAAATAGTGCTGCTGCGAACAGTGGGGTGCAGGTGTCTTTCTGAAGTAGGGTTCCTTCTGGATATATGCCTAGGAGTGGGATTAGTGGGTCATATGGTAAGTCTACTCATTTTTTGAGGAATCTCCATACTGTTTTCCACAGTGGCTGCACCAAACTGTACTCCCACCAGCAGTGTAGGAGGGTCCCCTTTTCTCCACAGCCTCTCCAGCATTTGTCATTTGTGGACTTTTAAATGATGGCCATTCTGACTGGTGTGAGGTGATACCTCGATACCTCATTGTAGTTTTGATTTGCATTTCTCTGATAACTAGTGATATTGAGCATTTTTTCATGTGCCTATCGATCATATGTCTTCCTTGGAGAATTGCTTGTTTAGGTCTTCTGCCCATTTTTGGATTGGGTTGTTTGTTTTTTTCCTATTAAATCGTATGAGCTGTTTATATATTCTGGAGATCAAGCCTTTGTCAGTTTCATCTTTTGCAAAAATTTTCTCCCATTCCGTAGGTTGTCATTTTGTTTTGCTTATGGTTTCCTTTGATGTGAAAAAGCTTGTAAGTTTAATTAGGTTCCATTTGTTTATTTTTGCTTTTATTTCTATTTCTTAGGTAGACTGTCCTAGGAGAACACTGCTGATATGTATGTGAGATAATGTTTTGCCCGTATTTTCTT